TTCTACTTAATGTCCTTTTCAGCCTTGAAGTAAGAAAAGCCAGGTTATGATTATCAGGGATTCCGTAGATTGTGGGCACAGTGGCTGCCAGTGCTGCATCATGGTCCCTTGAGTAAAGGTGCCCGATGACTTTGCTTGTGTGATATTTGAAAGATACTCATGGATCTTATGTGCCTTTGTGATGCATCTTTTCCTCTAGCATGTTTATATAATGGCCTTTCCTTTCCAGCCCAATGAGAAGATGCAATATAGTAATTATTCAGGTGTTGTCTTTAATAAGCACTAGGTGTATTTGTTATGCAATTTTTCATTTTTCATAATTACAATAGAGTTAAGTGCCTTCGTGCTTTATGTGGCAGAAGAAGATAACAGACACCGTTTGAGTGCATTTTCTACTTTAAATACGAAGATATTGGGGGTGTATAGTTGGAATTATTTTAATGGCAATCCTTATCTAACACAGCATTCCAAAGTAATCAAAATTAAAACTCTATTTGTGTTTTGTTTTTTCTTCAATTACGGAGATAGTGTTTGTTCATTGGGGAAATTTATTAGCATATCCACAAGCATAAAAAGAAAAGTTAAATAGCAGTTTAATTCCTCATTCGGCAAGAGCCACTTTTCACAGTTGGTAGTTTTTCTCATGTGTATATGGGGGAAAAAAATTGAACTATATCATTCTGTAACCAACCCCTTTCACACAAAACTGTCTGGTAAGCATTTTTTCACAATTTGAAATATTTTAGGAAATATTATAATAGTTTTATTATAAAAATATATATCCTAATTTGCTTAGGGGCCTTATAGTTTGTGTGTATCTTAAAGGGCACCCTGAAGAATTTTAAAAATGCAACGAGGGTGATGATGATGAAGACGGTAGAAGATAGCTTTGCACCTTATCGTGATGATTTTCTGAAGTGGAGGAAAGTCTGAAACAAAAGGAATGGAGAATTTTAAGGCTCAGGATACATACTGCAGAAGTAACCCCCACACAGTTTGCATGCACCTCTCTGGAGACTTTTTCCAAGCATGCATCGTTTTATCTGGTTTTGTTTTTACCAATTTGTAGACAAAGCAATTTTATTTCTGCAATTTGCACTTCTTTGATTATTAAGGCTGAGCATTCTAATAATTACTAGTTTGTCTTCTTTTATAAGTTTCTAAAGTCTGCTAGTTTTATGGAGTGCTTTCTCATTCTTATTAATTTGTTTACTCCAGACCTGAGCACAAGGACCGTGTCTGCCATATCCTTGCAGAGCAGCACCTCCAATACTGTTTGTTAAATGAATAAATGAATGACTGTATACCTATTGTAACTTTTCCATTTTTTCCAATATTTGCCTTAATTTTTGACAGCTCTATTAATGTGTAATTGACATGCAATAAATTACACATATTTAAAGTGCAGTGTGATGTGTTTTGCTATTTGTAACACCCATGAAACCATCACCACAATGAAGGTAATGAATAGCCTTCACCCTAATGGGTGGATGTATGCCCATTTGTAGGCCCTTCCTCCCAACCATCCCTGTGTCCCTGTGCTTAGGCAACTATTGATCAGCTTTTTGTCACTATTGTTTGCATTTTCCAAAATTTTATGTATGTGAGGTCATAAAGTATATAGCCCCTTTTTATTTGACTTTTGTACAGCATGATGTTTTTGCAGATTCACCCATATTGCAGTGTGGATCAGTAATTTACTCTTACACGTTGCCAAGTAGTGTTATATTGAATGGATATATTACAGTTTGTTTAACCACTCACCTGCTGATGAACTTTTGGGTTATTTCTGGTTTGGGGCTACTACAAATGAAGCTGCTTTGAACATTCTTTGAATATATACTTTCTTTTCTCTTAGATAAGTAGGAAGGGACTGGCTGGATCTTATGACAGGTGTATCTTTAACTTATGAAGAAAATGCCAAAATATTTGTCCAAATAATTGTACCATTTTACACTATCGGCAGCAATGTACAAGACTTCCACTTTCTCTACATCCTTGGTATAATCTTTTTTTCCAATTTTAGCAATTCTAGTAGGTGTGTGATGGTACCTCTTGGTGTTTCTAACTTACATTTCTTTAATAACTAATGATGTTGAACATCTTTTCATTTCCTTATTTGCAAGTCATTATCTTTTTGGGTGAGATATCTCTTCAGATCTTTTGCCTGTTTTTTAAAAAGGCATGTTTATTTTCTTATTATTGAGTTTTGAGGGTACTTTATTTTAGATATAACTCCTTTACGTATTTATTATTTGCAATTATTCTCTCCCACTCTGTGGCTTGTCTTCTTCTCTTAATAGTATTTTTTGAGGAGCACATGTTTTTAATTTTGGGATCCAACTTACTAGTTACTATGTGGATTATGTTTTAAATGTCGTGATATTTTTGCATGATGAAAAGTCATAGTGTTTTAGAAGTTTCGTAGTTTTAGATTTTATATTTGGGTGTGTGATGTCTTTTGGATTTGTATGTGATGTGAGATGTGTCTCCAAGTTTTGTTTTTGTTGTTTGCATATGGATATCTAATAGTCCAAGCGCCATTTGTTGAAGTGACTACTTTTTTCTCCACTGATTTCCCTCTATACCTTCATGACCGTATGTGTGTGGGTTTATTTCTGGAACCTATTCTGTTCCATTGATCTATTTGTCTATATGTACACTGT